AAACAAAATATCTTACCTGATATTGCCTAAGCACATCTGTGAGGTAGATGGTTTGTGAGGGATGAGTCCGTCCTCGCTTCAATACTATTAACCCGTTTTTCTGCAGTAATTCCTTGATCTGCAAATGGAGAATTCCGGTAAACATAAAAATACACAAAGTAAAGGTATTATCACCTCGGCATGAGTCCAAAGACAGCAGCCATCCGCTTGGACCGCAAGTAGTTCATCGAGAACTTCGCTTCCACAAATGTATATCATCCGGATTGGCTCATCGTGTTTTTGAGAAATTTTCTGCACATATACGCAAATTCATACCTTTTAGATGTTCTGAGGTGAACCCATCTCTTACCTTCTGATAATGCTTTAAAACGGCTAATTGTCTTACAGGTGTTTGCTGATTACATTCATAATTGCCTGCCCTGCAAAAATTGCAATCAATTTGCAGAGAAGTAAAACAGAATAACAAACTTCTTTGTCTATATTTCGGATGTGCACATAAGATGAACCGAAAAAGGGAAATGGGTTTAGAACTTTTGCGTATAATTTCCCACACATACTCATTTTAGGGGAGCCAAATAAACGTTCGGTCAATGGAAGCCCAGCTATATCGTTCGTTTATGCTTTCAATCTAATGCATAATACATGATACCGAATTATTTCGGATGGAAGTATGCAATAAACGTAAGTACTGTGATGTCATTGCAGTCATGTGTCTGCTGCGCCGATTTGGGTCCCAATCGTATTTCAATGGAAAGTAGTGATCGTAACTAGCGTAATTAACTCTCAACCCATAAAATAGATAGCTGGAAAAAAACTTCCAAAGTAGTTCATAATACATGCCTTCGATGCAGAATTAATTGGAAATTTTTCTAAAGGGCAGCCTGCAATTACAGAAGTTTTGGTGACACATGCATTACCTGTTAGAGTCACACTTTCTGGATAACAAGGGTTTGGCTACCCTTTTACAGAAAACAAATAGCATATTTTGGAGAGCAGTTTTGGGCTTTTGATTGAAAATTAGTCATGGACAGTATCTGCGATTTTAAAGGAATGAGAGCCAACGGAAAGTTTGGTTTGGCTCATCTATTTGAGCCAATACTTATATTACTTCCTTTGGGAATGACTGAGTTTTGATTGAATGCAGAATTTTGAATAAATGGTTTTTGAATCAGGAGTAATCTCTTAAAATCAAGATTCGCCCACAATGACGGTTGAACCAAGTGAAAGGGGGTCAGTTCGATGAATCATTCATAGCTGACATCTTTATTGATCTCAAGGTTTTTGATTCGCTTAAAGGCTCCAATATCGACCTTACCGTATCCAAAAATTCTTTCTTACAGCCGTCTCGACCATTCGCAAACGATGTTTTGCAGGTGTTCGAGTGGAAGGTGTATCTCCAGCCACACTCATGATTCCCTAGAAGGCGGAGTTCATTTGAAGGTGAAAGAGCAGAGGAAATAATTGGAAACGAGGTTTTTTCGACCATGATGAATGTGATTGTCAATGGACTTTGTGATAATGAGAAATCTGCTAACCTCGACCACTTTGCAGCCCATTGTTCGCATGAGAAAATCTCTTGCGCGTTCTGAAATTGAAAAAAATGAAGGAAGAAAAGATTACAGAATAACAAAGAAAAAAAATTTCGGAAGCTTTTCTTTCTTTTCCTTTACTTGATCGCCAACAACATGTTCATCCTACTTCTAGTTGCTTTGGCTGAACTCGTAACGCACCAGAAACTGGATG